ATCAAGAAATGAATTATGTATATTTTGGCATTTTAGAATAGATTCAAAATAAATGAATAAAAATTTTGAAGGGAATTAATTTTGAAAAAGAACAGAAACTTTTAAGTTTAAAAAATTTACAAAAATATTAATGAATTCAAGTTGAGCAATTAATTAATATAAAATGTAGACAAAGGCTTGATTTAAAAAAATGTTTCGTGAATAAGTATAAATAATCGAAAATATTTACTATTGAAAGCATAAAAAAAGTAATTGGATTAGTAATGATTATTTTTTCATATTTGTATCGAAGTAAAAAAGTATAGAAGTAAAATTTTGCTTTTTGAGAAGGTTAATCTCAACATTTGTAGGATAATAATCTATTTCTGCTTAAAATTTTTAAAGAAACTTTTAGATGCTTCGGTAACTTATGGTCCAGTACTTACAAAATTAAGTCGATGCGGGTGGCGTGTACAGTTATTTCACCCCGAAAAAGCTTCTAAAGATTTTACAGATTACGGTGATGCTAACTGTACGATTGAACGTGTGCTTGGTACACCAATCGACGATTACACTGTTTGTTTAATTTGATAAACAAAGATGTTGTACAAAAACTTTGAGATATTTTTACTTCCAAAAATTGTTAAAAATTACTGATAGTAAATGAGTGTTATGCCAAAATTAATCTTAAGTTTATATAAAAATACAAAATTTAATTTTGATTACTATCATTTTAAAACTATGTCTTTCTTATTTATGATAGTTTCATATTTACCTTTTGGCTAATTATTCTAGCTGATCATAATGATTTCTTATTGATAATAACAATGCTTTATAGGCAATTATCAGCTTTATTTCCTGTTAATTTTGTTGAGTAACTGTAAATAAATTTTAGAGTGTTACATATTTTCCGAATACAGTATACTTCCTTGTAAATCATATTGTAAACGGTGAAACACTTGGATTTCTGAGTAATATTACTGAGCAGTATGAATCAAATTTGGTATATTTCAACGAGAAGGTTGGTGAAGCGGTCGTTGAATTAAAAGCGTTTGACATGGAAAGGTTAGGCTAAAATTCGAAATTTGTTTTCAAATTTGGTTGTTTGTGAATTTTTCATTTTTTAAAATAAAAATTGGCCTTTAATTTAATTATGCAAAAATGGCAGAAATTTTTATATTCAGTCACTTATATATGCTTGGATTAAAGCTTTGTTTGTTAAAAGTTTTGATAAAGCTTATCTTTGCTCAATTTATCGAATCAAACATCAAATTTTTACATTGGTAATTACTATATTTTAAGCAAAAAATTCATTAACAATAATTTATATATTTATATGTCTGCTTTAAAGAGTTTCAAAAAACACATATGCATTTATACGTAGCAGTGAGACGTGTGCGTGTGTTTGCTGTACTAATTGACGTATACGTGATAAGAAAAATGAATATATGAATATAAGTGAACGTTTATTTTTTTGAGTTTTTACATTAAATATTAATGCTTCAATACAGTACGCTTTTGTTTTATTTCAATGTTAAAAAACGTGAAAAGCGTTAAAAACGTAACTTTAGAGTATTAATAGAAATATGCAATATTTATTTTAACAAATGCAAAGTGAAGTATTGTAAAATATAAATTCCTGTACAAATAACACCATTTATTGATAGAATAAATGTAGGGTAAACAAAAGTGTTTACCTCTGAAAGGTAAGAAATTAAAGTGATAAAAGACCGAAGGGAGGATCAGCCTTCCTACAAGCGGCCGTTGAATAAGTGATCGGCAGTGCCGCTCGAGAGCGTACCTCCCATTACATTTCAATTCTCGGTCATAATTTCACTTTTCCACTACAATTTCTATTATTTATCTGTTTATTTATTATTGTCATTATTTTTCATATTCATATCATTATTATTATTATTATTATTA